AGCCCTCCAAGACGTCCTCCAAGAAGGCCCGAAAGGGTCAGAATGGCCTCCAGACGGCCAAGATGACTTTCAAGATGCCCACGTGTTCCCCGAAGGCTTTCCAAACCGATTCGGGGAACACGTGGTCGGATAGCTTGGCAGGCCTCTGGCCACAACCTTCGGCCACATAGGCGCTTCCAAAAAGGCGGGGGGCGGCGGTGATTCGCCGTAGGCGTCTTCGATCCGCCGCCCCCTGTCGATTCATCGCAGGGGTGCCTGGCGTGCTAGACCCTTTCGGTTTTGGCTTTGGTTCTTTATCCAAAAGAACTCCCCCTGGGGCTTCGACCCGTCCCGCCGGCCACCCGGAAAGGTGCTCAATCCGGAAAAAAATCCTCCAAGATGGCTCAAGATGGTGCCAAGATGGCCACGTTGGCCCAAGATGGCCTCCAAGATGGTCCAAGATGGCCTCCAAGTCCGCCCAAGATGGTCCAAGACGGCCTCCAAGACGGCCCAAGAGAGTCCAAGACGGCCCAAGACGGCCCAAGAGGCCCGCAAGAGGCCTCCAAGACGGCCCCAGGAGGCCTCCAAGAGGTCCTCCAGGAGGGCCCGAAGAGGCCAAAGTCATTGATTTCCCATAGGTTTTTGAAGGATTTTGGAATGTGCTTCTTCTCGGCATTCCGACGGCTCCAGACGGTCCAAGAGGCCCCCAAGATCGCCCACGAGGCCCCCAAGAGGGCCCCATGACGGCCCAAGTGGCCTCCAAGATGGCCCCAAGAGGGCCCCAAGACGGCCCAAGAGGCCTCCAACACGCCCAAGATGGCCTCCAAGACGCCCAAGATGGCCTCCAAGACGGCCCCGAAGCGCCCCAAGAGGGCCCCCCGTTGGCCCAGAAAGGCTCCCAAGACGGCTCCCGACGGCGTCAGACGTGCCAGGAACCCACCAAGATGGCCGAAGTTGACTCGAAGCTGGCCCAAAGAGCCCAAGAGGCCCCCAAGAAGGCCTCCAGGAAGGCCAGAAGAGGCCACCAACATAGATTTTCCGTATGTTTTTGACGGATTTTGACATTTCCTCCTTTTCGGCCTTCCGACGGCCCGAGACGGCCCAAGTGCCCCCAAAGATCGCTGAAAGATCGCCGAAGAGGCCTCCAAGACGGCCACGATGACCTTCAAGACGCCCACGTGTTCCCCGAAGGCTTTCCAAACCGATTCGGGGAACACATGGTCCGATAGCTTGGCAGGTCTGGCCCAAACGTTCGGCCACATAGGCGCTTCCACAAAGGCAGGGGGCGGCGGTGATTCGCCGTAGGCGTCTTCGATCCGCCGCCCCCTGTCGATTCATCGCAGGGGTGCCTGGCGTGCTAGACCCTCTCGGTTTTGGTTTTGGTTCTTTTTCCAAAAGAACCCCCCCTGGGGCTCCGGCACGTCCCGCCGGCCACGAGGTCCTCCAGGAAGGCCCGAAGAGGCCGAAATCATTGATTTGTCTCGTCTTTGAAGGATTTTGGAATTTGCCTCTTCTCGGCAATCCGACGGCTCAAGACGGCCCAAGAGGCCCCCAAGATCGCCCAGGAGGCCCCCAAGAGGGCCCCATGACGGCCCAAGTGGCCTCCAAGACGGCTCCAAGAGGGCCCCAAGATGGCCCAAGAGGCCTTCAACACGCCCAAGATGGCCTCCAAGACGCCCAAGATGGCCTCCAAGACGGCCCCGAAGTGACCCGAGAGGGCCCCCAGTCGGCCTAGAAAGGCCCCCAAGACGGCTCCCGACGGCGTCAGACGGACCAAGAGGGCCTCCAGGAAGGCCCGAAAAGGCCAAAGTCATTGATTTCCCATGAGTGTTTGAAGGATTGTGGCATTTGCTTTTTTTCTGCCTTCCGACGGCCCGAGACGGCCCAAGTGCCCCCAAAGATCGCCCAAGAGGCCCAAGACACGGCCCCAAGAGGCCCCCAAGACTGCCCAAGAGGTCTCCAAGACGCTCAAGATGGCCTCCAAGACGGTCCAAGAGCCCTCCAAGACGTCCTCCAAGAAGGCCAGAAAGGGTCAAAATGGCCTCCAGACGGCCAAGATGACCTTCAAGATGCCCACGTGTTCCCCGAAGGCTTTCCAAACCGATTCGGGGAACACATGGTCCGATAGCTTGGCAGGTCTGGCCTCAACGTTCGGCCACATAGGCGCTTCCACAAAGGCAGGGGGCGGCGGTGGTTCGCCGTACGTAGGCGTCTTCGATCCGCCGCCCCCTTTTGCTTGCAACAGGGGTGCCTGGCGTGCCGAACAATATGGCTTCTGGTTTTGCTTCTTTTTCCAAACAAGCTCCCCCCTGGGGCTTCGGCCCGTGGCGCCGGGGTCCCGGGAGATTCCCGAAAATCCATCCGTCAATGCCGCTGTTGCCCCAAGTTGGCCTCCAAGACGGCCAAGATGGCCCAGGATGGCCTCCAAGATGCCTCCAAGACAGCCACGATGGCCTCAAAGACTGCTAAGATGGCCCCAAGATGCACCCAAGACGGCCCAAGATGGCCTCAAGATGGTCTACGACGGCCCAAGAGGCCCGCAAGAGGCCTCCAAGACGGCCCAAGGCTTCCAAGAGGTCCTCCAGGAAGGCCCGACGAAGCCAAAAACATTGATTGTCCTTCGGTTTTGTTGAAAGATTTTGGCATTTGCGTTGTTTCGGCTTTCCGACGGCCCAAGATGGCCCAAGAGGCTCCCAAGATCGCCCCAAGATCGCCCAAGAGGCCTCCAAGATGGCCCCATGACGGCCCAAGAGGCCCCCAAGACCGCCCCAAGAGGCCTTCAACACGCCCAAGAGGGCCTCCAAGACGCGCAAGATGGCCTCCAAGACGGCCCCGAAGCGCCCCAAGAGGGCCCCAAGTCGGCCCAGAAAGGCCCCAAGACTGCTCCCGACGGCGTCAGACGTGCCAGGACCAAGAGGCCCCCACGACCGCCCCAGGAGGGCCCAAAGACGGCCCAAGAGGTCTCCGAGTCGCCCAAGCTGGCCTCCAAGACGGCCCTGGAGCACCCCAAGAAGGCCCCAAGTCGTCCCAGAGAGGCCCCAAGACAGCTTCCGACGGCGTCAGACGGGCCAGGAGCCCACCAAGGCAGCCCACGATGGTTCTAAGATCGAAGACAGCACAAGGGGCCCCCACCCCCAAGAGGTCTCCAAGACTGCCCAAGAGGCCTCCAAGAGGGCCTCCAGGAAGGCCCGACGAGGTCAAAATCATTGATCTGTCGGAGGTTTCTGAAGGGTTTGGGCTTTCGCTTCTTTTAGGCCTTACGACGGCCCGAGACGGCCCAAGAGCCCCGAAAGATTGCCCGAAAGGCCTCCAGGATGGCCCCAGAACGGCCCAGGAGGCCCCCAAGACGGCCGCAAGGGGGCTCTAAGACGCCCCAAGACGGCCCCCGAGACGGCCCAGATGGCCTCCGAGACGGCCCTGGAGCCCCCCAAAAGGCGCCAAGGCGGCCCAGAGAGCGGCCAAAGGGGCCCCCCAGATGCCTCAAAGAGGCTCCCAGGAAGCTCCCAGGAGGCCCCAGGAGTGTCCCCTCCCCCAGAGGCTCCCGAGATGCCCCCTCCTCCTCCTCCTCCTACTGCTCCTCCACCTCCTCATCCGCTTCCTTCTGATCTTCCCCGCCATCCTCCCCCAAGTGTTCCCCGAAGGGTTTCCACAACGATTGGGGGAACACATGGTCCGATGGCTTGGCAGAGCTCTTGCCACAACGCTCGGCCACATGGGCGATTCTAGAAGGCAGGGGGCGGCGGTGACTCGCTGTAGGCGTCTTCGATCCGCCGCTCGCTCCCTGTGCTTATCACATGGGTGCCCGGCGTGCTGGACCCTTTTGATTTTGGTTTTGGTTCCTTTTTCCAAAGAGCTCTCTCCTGGGGCTTCGGCCCGTCCCGCTGGCCAACCGGAAATGACCGCAAAGCGCCCAATGTGTCGAATGTTGCCCCCAAGACGGCTCAAGATGGCTTTCAAGACCGCCAAGATGGCCCAAGATGGCCTCCAGGATGCCTCCAAGATGACTAAGATTCAAGATGGCCTCCAAGATGGCCCAAGAGGCCTCCAAGCGGCTTCCGAGACGGCCCGAGAGGCCTCCAAGAGGACCTCCAGGAAGGCTCGAAGAGGCCAAAATCTTTGATTTGCCGGAGGTTTTGGAAGAGTTATCGGATTTGCTTCTTTTCGGCTTTGCGACGGCCCGAGACGGCCCAAGAGCCCCCCAAGATCGTCCCAAGATCGCCCCAGAGGCCTCCAAGATGGCCCCAGAACGGCCCAAGAGGCCCCCAAGACCTGCCCAGGAGGGCCCCAAGACGGCCCAAGAGGTCTCTAAACGCCCAAGATGGCCTCCAAGATGGCCCAGGAGCATCCCAAGAGGGCCCCCAGACGGCCCAGAGAGGCCCCCAAGACAGCTTCCGACGGCGTCAGACGAGCCAGGAGCCCACCAAGACGACCCGAGATGGCTCTAAGATGGCCGAAGACGGCCCAAGAGGCCCCCGAGAGGTCTCCAAGATGGCCCAAGAGGCCTCCAAGAGGGCCTCCAGGAAGGCCCGACGAGACTAAAATCATGATTTTGGCGCTTGCTTGGCGCGCGGAGCGCGCCAGGGGCGGCGCCGGAGGCGCCGCGGGGGGGGGGGGGGGGCCCAGCGCGGATCCAAGAAATCCGCGCGCAGCGCCAAAAGTTTATGCTTATGGCGTCTTTTCTTCTCCGATGGACACCCCGAACGCACATGCTGCCATCTCTGGGGGGCGCATCCCGTACTCCCGCCGTGCTGCTCCCGCTGGCCCTCCGCCGAGGAGGAGCTGGCAGCCCCCTCGAAGCGCAGCGGCTCCTCCCTCCTCCTCCCTTCTCCTCCCTTCTCCTCCCTCCTCCTCCCTCCTCCTCCCTTCTCCTCCCTCCTCCTCCTCCTCCTCCTCCTCCTCCTCCTCCTCCTCCTCCTCCTCCTCCTCCTCGTTCTCCTCCTGCTCCCCCCCCTCTTCCTCCTTCTCCTCGTCCTCGTTGTCCTCCTCCCTCTCTGGAACTGCCCCGGCGTGTGGAGCACCGCCTTCGAGACCACGCTCTGCGACTTGAACCTCCGCAGGTTCTCGAGGAGGTCTCGGGGCATGCCGGCGGCCTCCTCGCCGGCCTCGGGCGCCAGCCACGCGTCGGCGAGGGCCTGCGCCGCCGCCGGCCGCGCCCGGGGGTCGCTGCAGAGCAGGCCCGACACGAACAGCCTGGCCCGCGCGGAGACGCGCCTCCGGCAGGGTGCGAGCGAGACAGTGCTTTCCGCTTCCAGGGTGTGTTTCGTTGTCCCTCGTTCTGTCTTCGCTCGGCCCCAGTTGCGAGACGAAGTCAAAACGACAACGATCCACGACATGGCCGAACGCACAGGTGTGTCTCGCGCCCTGGCCTCCAGTGCAGGGGCCGGAACGCAGGGCGCCCCTCCGCAACTCTGTCGAGCACGTCCTGCTGGGTTTTGCCGCCGAAGGGCAGCTGCCCACACGCGAGCAAGTGGGGGAAGAGGAGGAGGAGGAGGAGGAGGAGGAGGAGGAGGAGGAGGTCCTGCTGGGTTTTGCCGCTGAAGGGCAGCTGCCCACACGCGAGCAAGTAGGCCGTTACCCCCAGACTCCAGATGTCGCACTGCGAGTCGTAGCCCTTCCCGCGCAGCACTTCGGGTGCCACGTAGGCGGGCGACCCCACTGTCGTCATGAGCACTTCCCCGGCAGCAAACTGGCGAGCGAGGCCGAAGTCGATGATCTTCACCGTGTTGTCGGGCACGGGCGCGTCGCTCGAGAAGAGCAGGTTATCTGGCTTCAGGTCCCTGTGAGCAATCGATCGCGAGTGCAGATACAGCGTGCCTCGCAAGATCTGCTGGAGCACCACGGCCGCTTTCCGCTCCGAAAAGGGCCTGCCCTTGGTCATCGAGCGTGACAGCACATGCCCACCCCTGCACAACTCCACCACCAAATACGTGCATCTGCCATCCTGGAACGACTCCAACAACTTCACGACATTGGGATGGTCGACCGACCTCATGATTGCAACCTCTTGACTGCAACGCCGGGCCTCGGTGCGGAGACGGGCCTTGATGCACTTCACGGCGCAATACTTCCCAGAAGCCCGCTGCGTCGCGCGGTACACTGCACCATACGATCCTTGGCCGATCCGATCCCCGATGTCGTAAAACTGCTTGATGTTGATCCTGCGGTGCTCCTCAACGGACGTGGCCTCCGGGTCCACCCGCTCCACGGGGCGTGCCTGGCCGACGCAGACACATGCACCCATCTCCGCGTTCGCGGCGTCCTCTGCGGTGGGTGACTCGGCGGCGAGCGAGGGGGGGAAGTGAGAAGAAGAAGGCCTTCTCAGAAGGCGGTTGAGACTTCTCAGAAGCCCTCGCGCCTTGTGGTCAGGTTTCTTTTGGTCTTCGGGGAGGGCTTGGAAAAAACTTCTCAGAAGGCCGGGGGACTTCCGAACCTTCTGCCCAGACCCCCGACGCCGTGATTTTTTGTCATAACTTCGACCCTCAGAGGTCTGGACCCTTTCCCCAGGACCGGTTTTTCGTCCTGAGTCGTTTTTTGTTAGTCCCGAGGCCCGGGAAGGGCCCCCGGAAGTCGAAAATAACGAACAACCTCCCGTCGTGATTTTGTCGAAACGCGAGGAGGTCTGGGCGAGAAGGCCTTCTCCTTCTCACTTTCCCCCCCTCGCTCGCCGCCGACTGACGCGAAAAAGCAAGGCGGAGCCTCAAAACGCTTGAGCCGACACGGCTGCGGCGGAGCTGCTCTGCCCTTTGGCTCGCCGGCTGGCTCAAAACAGCCAGCGCCTGCGGTGGGCGGCGTTCTACCCCTTCTCCTCCACCTCCTCCTCCTCCTCCTGCTCCTGCTCTTCCTCCTCCTCCTCCTCCTCCTCCTCCTCCTCCTCCTCCTCCTCCTCCTCCTCCTCCTCCTCCTCCTCCTCCTCCTCCTCCTCCTCCTCCTCCTCCTCCTCCTCTTCCCCCTCCTTCTCCTCCTCCTCCTTCTCCTCCTCCTCCTTCTCCTGCTCTTCCCTATGGGCGAGCGCCGCGCGGACCCTGGCACGAAAGCATCTGCGTCAGCCGACCAATTTCAGACCGTACGTGCTGGAGGCCCAGACATAGGCACCAGCACCAGCACGGGGCGGGGGCCTCCACATGGGGAAGGTGATCCTAGACTTCGAGGGGGAACCGCCGAGCGAGATCGGCCCTCCTGCCCCTGCCTCCTCATGGTGGCTGCGGCGACCCGAGGAGAACCCCCCCCCCCCTCGCGTCGCCTCGCCTGGCCGTCGCCCTCCCTCGTGCAAGAGCCGGGGCACGCGCACCACTTGCTCCAGAGGGGGCGGGGGGACCGCCGAGCGATTTCGCCACACAGTGTGACAAGTACCCATGTGTAGAGGAGGGAGAAGGGAGGAGGGATTTCGCCACACAGGGCAGGGCGGAGGGAGGAGGGAGGAGGGAGGAGGGAGGGAGGAGGAGGAGAGGAGGGAGGAGGGAGGAGGGGAGGAGGGAGGGGGAGGAGGGGGCCGCGGGCGGCTCGGGCTGCGGCGGGGGGGGGGGAACGGCCCCAGCAGCCCCCTTGCGCCAAGAGGGCCCCCCGAGATCGCCAAGAGGTCCAGGAGGCCTCCCGGGGCGCCAAAGACGCAGGGGAGCACAACAAGTGGCATCAGCATAGAAACGCGGAGGTCCGCGCGGATTTCTCGGATCGGCGCTGCGGGCCCCCCGGTGGCGCCTCCGGCGCCGCCCCTGGCGTGCTCCGCGCGCCAGGGAGGGGGGTCCAGCGCCGAATCCGAGAAATCCGCGCGGACCTCCGAGTTTTTATGTTCATGTCAGTTTTTGTTCCTCTGAGGAAGCCCCCCGAAGGCGCCCCACAGGACCGGAAGAGGCCCCCAGGAGGCCCTCGAGAGGCCTCCGGCAGGCCACCGAAAGGCGTTCCAGGCGAGCCGGAGGGAGAGGCATCCAAGAGGCCTCCGACCCACAAGCCCCATGTGTAGAGGAGGGAGGAGGGAGGGAGGAGGGAGGAGGGAGGAGGGAGGAGGGAGGAGGAATTTCGCCACACAGGGCAGGGAGGGGAGGAGGAGGAGGAGGAGGAGGGAGGAGGGAGGAGGGAGGAGAGAGGAGGGAGGAGGGAGCGAGCACGGCGGCGAGATGGGCCGGAAGCCCCTGGATCCGCCGCCCCCCGGATGCGCCGCCCCGCGGCCTGCCAGAGGATGTGCCAGCGCGCCAGTTCCTGGGTTCCTGGTGCTCTCTGGTCCAACCCGCTGGCACCCCTGACCATTCCAGACGAAAGACGAATCCTTGGATGCTCGTTCTGGGGACCTTCCTGGAGCCACTCGCTCCACTCGTGCGTCGAAGCTGCGTCGAACGTCAGTCGAATTGGGTCGACCCTGAGTCGAACCTGAGTCGAACCTGAGTCGAACTTGAGTCGAACTTGAGTCGAACTGGGGTCGAACAGATCCGTTAGGTGGGCTCCAGGAAGGTCCCCGAAACGAGCATCGAAGAATCCCGTCTAAGACTGCCCAATGTCCCCTGCTGCTGCTGTGATTGCTGGCAAGTGCATTTTTCGATCGACTTGTAAACGCAATTTTCGATCAAGTGGCAAACGCATTGCATCGTCATGGAATGTCTGTTGCGCACGCTGTAAACATTTACGCTCTGTAGCGCTTACAGCGCCCTAAGCTCACTGTGCTGTACACACAGTGCTGGTCGGTAGTTCCGGCCACGCAGAGCATTGGAGGGCATTGGCAGCCATGTCGAAAGAAGGTAATGCTTGCTGCTGAAGAGCCTGGCGGGCAACATTCTCGAAGCCCCCCCCGGAGGCAAGGCGAAGGCGGGGGGCGCCAGGAGGAGGATCAAGCAGATGACACAGAACAAAAAGAAAAGAAATAATTGTTGGAGTTGGTGAAAGGACAAGTCTGTAAGCTTCCCCCAGCAGCCCACGCAGACGTTCTCAAGGCCGTTAAAGACGTTACAAAAAACCTGGGTTTATGTTGACAGTAATCGACAAAAATAACGTCCTGGAATCAAACGTCGGTCTTCTGGCCAGAAGCAGACTTGCAGGATTGAATGGTGAAGTACAACTTAACAAGTTCCTTCAAGAAGTCAATGCCACATCAAAGGTAGCTACAGACACGTTCCAAGAGGGGGACTTGAACCTCCCGCGGGACATGTTCGAAGAAAGAGGGTCCATTTCGGAAGACAAAGCAAGATCCCTGTACAAAGCGATGTTGGAAAGAGCACGTTCACGCCAACAAGCAGAAACTCATCGTCCTCCTCCCCCCCCCTCCCCATCCTCCTTCTGGAGCCGTCTTGGGACTCGATGTTGGTCTCTTGTGTGCCCTCTTGGGCCGCTTTGGGCACCCGCTGGGGGGCCTGCGAAGAGATTTTGGGCAACTCATTATATAGATGTACATATATATATATATATACATATATGTACATACATACATACATACATATATCTATATATAGATATAACAGGAAATCATTGCTTATGCCTCCCAAGGGCCTCTTGGGCGCTCGCCTCGGGCAGTCTTGGAGCCTCTCGGCGGTGTCCTGAGCCGTCTCGGGGGCGTCTTTGGCGGTTTTGGGGCAATCTTGGGGTGTCTGTTTGTCTGTCTGTCTGCGCGCATGTATGTATGTACATTTGTGCATATATGTATATATACATATGTGCTTGTATATATACATATGTATGTATATACACGTGCGTGCATGTATGCAGATAGGTATATACGTACGTATGGATGTATACATGTGTGTACGTACGTATGTGTATGCGTACGCATGTATGTGTGTATGTGTAGATATGTAAATCTAGATATATGCGTGTATGTATGTCGGTAGGTGTATGTACGTATGTATGCATGGGTGTTTATGTGTGTGTATATATGTACGTCTGTATGTGCGCGTGTGCGCATGCATGCATGTGTACAGGTATGCATGTATGCATGCATGCATGTCTGAATGCACGCATGGCTCAATGTATGCGTGCATGCACGCATGCATGCATGCATACATGCTTGTGTGCTTGTTTGTGTGTATGTATGTATGTGTGTCTGCATGCGTGCACGTGTACATGTATGCGTGCATGCATGCATGCGTGCATGCAGACATGCACGTGTGTAGCGTAGGTGTGCACGCATGCATGTATGTGTACATGTTTGTGTGTATGTATGTATGCACGGATGCATGTGTATGTCTGCATGCATGCATGGATTCATGCAAATATGCATGCATACATTATGCACGAATTCAAAGTCTGAGACAAAAAGAAGGCAACCATGCGGACACCCGACAATCGCGGACCGTACACTGTATGTTTTGAGTGTTATCGTCGCCGTTGTTTTACGGATGCCGCTACCGTTTTGAATTGCAAACAACAGGCTTCGGTTCATAATGCGAATTTCGGCACACCCTCCCTCCATCCCATCCCCGTTTCCGCCTCCCCACTGTCCCTCCCCTTCCTCGTCTTCGTCCTCCTCCTCATCCTTCTCCTCCTCCACCCCCTCCTTCCACCTCCTCCCTTCCTCGTCCTTTCCTCCTTTCATAGCAAATTCATGCTTCTGGCGCCCGCGGGCGGTGGCCCCTTTCCTCCTCCTCCTCCTCCTCCTTCCTCGTTATTTCTTCTTCCTCCTCCTCCTCATCCTCCTCCTCTTTCTCGTCCCCTCCTCCGCTTCCGCCGCCCTTCCGCCATTGCTTCCGCGCCCCTTCCGCGGGGGAACCTCCTCGCCGCGGCCTGTCCACTTCTCACCTCCCCGAATCGGATGTTTTACTTCCGCATCCTTCCGCCAACCTTCAGCCGACTTCCGCCGAACCAAGAGATGACAACTGTATCAACTTTGGGGGAAACCGAGGTGTCCGAAATCCCTCATTTGCATGTGTGCATGCATGCAAGCATGCAGGCATGTACGTATGAATGTACGTAGGTGTGTACGCATGTATGCATGTGTGCATGTGTACATGTGTGAGTGTATGTATGTGTGTATGTATGTATGTATGTATGTATGTATGTCTGTATGTATGTATGTATGTATGTATGTATGTGTGTATGTATGTATGTTTGCATGCATGCATGCATGCATGCATGTATGTATGTATGCATACATGCATGCATGCATGCATGCATGCATGTATGTATGTATGTAGGTATGCGTGTATGTATGTATGGATGGATGGATGGATGGATGGATGTATGTAGGCAGGTATGTATGTATGTATGTATGTATGTATGTATGTATGTATGTATGTATGCAAGTGAGTAAGTATGTATGTATGTATGTATGTATGTCTGTCTGCCTGTATGTATGTGTGTATGCATGTATGTATGTATGTATGTATGTATGTGTGTATGTATGTATGTATGTATGTATGTATGTATGTATGTATGTATGTATGTATGTATGTATGTATGTATACAGGTGTGTATGTATGCGGGTGGGTGGGTGGGTGCATGGACGCCTGTATGTATGTACGTATGGATGGATATATGTATGTATGCATGTGGTGTGTATGTATGTCTGCATGTTTGTACAAACGCATGCATGCATACACAGATATATATATATAGATATAGATATAGATATAGATATGCTAGAACCAGCGCGCGCGCTCAAGTTCTAGCTAGGCTTGATGGGACATGGAATATCATCCTTGTCGTTTCTTGCATCCTTGGACTCTCTTGGAGGCCCTGTGCATAGCCTCGCAATCATATAGAAAGGGAACTGCGGACACGCAAAAATCGCTAATTGCCGTTAGGTATTCAACGATTTGGGGCCCTCGAAGGCTTCCTCGGTTCTTTTCTGGAGCCTTCATTGTGGTCTGTTGTGCAAGAATAGACAGGGGGGCGAACTTGGAAAATTACGGAATGGTGGGATTTCCCTTTTCTCAAGTTGTAGTGCCTGTGCTGTGGTTTAGACGTTTTCTGGATGCAGGTCACGGTCTGTTGGGATGCCTCTCGGGGTCTTCGTGCAAAAATAAGCAGGGGGTGAGTTTGGGCAAAAGAGTTCTAAAATTCCACTGCTTCAACTCATGGGATCATGGGATCTCGATGTCTACAATGGTTTCAGGGGCAGCCAAGAGGACACGAAGACGATCCGAGAGAGTGCCAAGACAGCGTCAGAGAGTTCAACAGCATTCCCGAAACCTTTTTGCATGTGACCCCGAAGTCTTGATGGGGCTCGAGGAAGAGGATAGGGAGTAGGAGTCCCAACTTGAAAAAAAAATCTGGAATCTATTTTTTCATTCAAATTCCTCGGTCTTGGAGCGTTGGAAGCCAGAAAACGTCAGAAGGCGAAACAAGTCGATAAAAACCACAGAAAATCAACGTTTTTACCCTCTTCGGGCTCTCTCGGGACGGCTCTCGAAGCTCTCTAGGGCTGCTTTTGGGGCCTCGTCGGGGATTTTTGGGGAGCATCTCAGGGGTCTGGGGTGTCCTCCTGGAGGTCTCTGCAAGCCTCCTGCTCCCGCTCTTGGGCTCATCTTGGGCCTGTTCTGGGGTGGTCTGGAGCTGCCCAGGGCGCCTCTTCGGCAGTCTTGGGACCGTCTTGGCCCGTCTTGGGGCCGTCTTGGGGACCTCTTGGGCGGTCTCGGGGCGGTCTTGGGGGCCTCTTCGCAGCCGTCTTGGAGCGTTGGAAGCATGAAATGGTGAAAGGCCAAGAACGATTTCAGGTTCTCCGGACGCTCTCGGGAGGCCTCTCGGAGCTCTCTCGAGATCTTTTGGAGGCCTCCTGGGAGCCTGGAGAGCCGCCCGAAAGCCATCCTGGGTTGCTTGGGCGAGATTTTTTGGAGGCCTCCTGGGAGCCTGGAGAGCCGCCCGAAAGCCATCCTGGGTTGCTTGGGAGCGTCGTGGGCCTTTCTTTGGCGCTCCGGGGGCTCCTTGCGGTCGTCCTGGGCTGTCCTTGGGCACTTTGGGTGCTCCCCGGGAGGCCTGGAAGCGCGGTGCTGGGAGCGTACGCGAGATGCTCCGGGAAGGTGTGGGACCCCCGGGAGGAGGGGGCGCGCATGTGCTGAATTGGATAAAAAAAAAGAATCTCTGTTGTTTTTTAATCCTCGGTCTTGGAGCGTTGGACGCCGGAAAACGTGAGAAGGCGAAACAAGTCGACAAAAACCACTGAACATCAACGTTTTTACCCTCTTCGGGCTCTCTCGGGACGGCTCTCGAAACTTTCTTGGGCTCTTTTTGGGGGCCTCGTCAAAGATCTTAGGGAGCCTCTCAAGGGTCTGGGATGTGTTGGAAGCCTCTGGGGGGTCCCTGAGTCCTCTCGGAGGTCTCTGGCGGCCTCCTGCTCCCGCTCTTGGGCTCATCTTGGGCCTGTTCTAGGGTGGTCTGGAGCTGTCCAGGGCGACTCTTCGGCAATTTTGGGACCGTCTTGGACCGTCTTGGGGCCGTCTTGGGGACCTCTTGGGCGGTCTTGGGGGCCTCTTCGGCCGTCTTGGAGCGTTGGAAGCATGAAATGGTGAGAAGGCCAAGAACCCTGGAACAAAAACAAAGAAAACTAACGACTTTGGGTTCTCTGGGCGCTCTCGGGAGGCCTCTCGGAGCTCTCTTGAGGTCTCTTGGAGGCCTCCTGGGAGCCTGGAGAGTTGGACGCCCGAAATGGGCACGGAAAGAATGGTACAATGCCCAACAACAAATGTTGCCCCAAACCAACAGCGGCCACTGTTGGGCAGGCGGCCTTCTGTCTCAAATGGACACAGGCCGCGGCGGCGCGGACAGCGAGTCCTGTTCAAAATGAACAGGAACTGCTGTTGGGCATCGTACCCATTCTTCCCGTACCCATTTCGTTCGTGCAGACGGAACTATCCTGGGTTGCTTGGGAGCGTCTTGGGCAATGCTGTTACGTTCTGGGGGCTTCTTGGGGTCGTCCTGGGCTGTCTTTGGGCATTGTGGGGGCTCCCCGGGAGGCCTGGAAGCACGGTGCTGGGAGCGTACAGAAGATGTGAGCGAGGTGGAGGACGTCCTGGGAGGGGTCCTGGCGCATTTGTTTATATTATATATATATATACACATAGACAGACCGCGAACCCGATTTGGCCCCAATCGAAACCCGAACGCTGCACACATCCCCCCAACCGTTGGGTGGCCCTGTAGGCCGAATTCGCTGCTTTTGCAACGGGCTGGCGGCGCCGACGGAGGTGCCGCGAAGCGCCGCTGCCACTCGCAGGGTGGAAGCCGTCCAGCCAAAGCGGCTGGCCTGCCTGCCGCACATGGGTGCGCGCTCGTCGAGGGGAGTGTCAGCACCGCGAGGGGCAGAAGCGGAGGAGGAGGAGGAGGAGGAGGAGGAGGAGGAGACGAAGGAAGAGGAGGAGGAGGTGAAGGAAGAGGAGGAGGAGGAGGAGGAGGAAGAGGAGGAGGGAGAGGGCGGAGGAGAAGAGAGGGAGAGAGAGAGAGAGGGGAAGGGAAGAGCGACTAGCGGAGTGTCATTCTCGCACCAGCTCGTGCGAGGTGTGCGAATGGAGCCAGGGGGGACGAGACTGAAGCGCGCCACTCAGGAAGTAAGTCGCAAAGGAATGCCGACCAACAGCACGGCTCAAGCACTGCCAAGGACAACGCATGATACAATCAAAGCCTCGGTTTCTATCACCCTGGAGGGGAAGAAAGGAAAAGAGTAGCGAGAGGGCAAATCACACAATGGTAAGACAAGAGAACCAGCACGCTGATCCTTATCATTCGCCAACAGAGGCAGTAACTTCAAATGGCCATGTAAGTAACATTATGTCGCGATGTATGACCACATGTTTGCGCAAACCTTCGGCGCGATGCGTTTCTCAAATCCGAGTGTATCCTCCTACCGTACCTGACCCAACTTACCACACCAAATCGGGCCTCAACGTACCTCGTCGTGCCTCTTGCTTACTTGACTCAGACAGTACAGAGGCCAGCCAGGCCATTCCAGGAGTCCTCTGGATTCGTCACTGCGTGGACGCGGCCCAAGACCACCTCATGCCGCCTCAGACGACCGCCAAGCGCTACGAGAGGCACCTTGGATATCCCCATGACTGGCCCATGACGCCCCACGGCCAGACCGTCCCAACAGAGCGCAAGGCAGCCCCAAACTGCCCTACGCATGGCCGCAGCAAAGTCCATCACTGTGGTCGCACAAAGAGCAGCAACTTTAAGCGTAGTGAATGCATCAAGTGATCAGCCGAATAAGTCGTACTCATGCGGCGGAACTGGCTCTAAGATCATACACTTTCAAGGGCAACGGCGGATGTTCAAGGCAGCGGCATTGTTCTCTTTGCGCATGACGTGCCTAAAACTCACTCATCGCAAAGCCTCTGCTGGTATGGATGTCCCCGTGCCCGACAGATCCTCTCGAACTCTTCCACTTCTGGCCGGCACTTGGAGATGTCGCCGTTGTTCTCCTCGATGCAGAGCCTCCCCCTGGCCTCTACCATGCTGTGGCAGTTCACGCTGGCTCTGCTGCAAGTGCCCGGCCCTCCCCCCATCACTGCTCGTGACACCACGACACACTGAAGCCTGCCTGGGGGGCTGTTCTGGGATCCGATGGACTTGAGCGTATTATCCTTTCTGTCTGTCTGAATCTGCTGGTCACGGCCGCTCGACTGCGCTTCGCGTGTCAAAGTCGATCGCAGCCCTCGGTCAGAGTGCTGGCAAGTCGCTCTGCTCCCTGCTGCTACTCGAATGCCAGGTTCAATTTTCGCATGCAGTGCTATGTGCTTGCCCCCTGCGTTCCCAATGAACTCCCCGTGCGCCGCCGCTCAGAACATGTCTGGCGGTCAGGAACTTTTGCACAGCATGTCGCGGCGGCGGCCCTGGCGAGACTCTATGCCTTGCACGCGGATGGCCTGTCGCTCCGCTCCGCGGGGCGGGAGGCCGGGCACGGCTTGGGACACCGACGCGCAGGGACCGGGAAGCGGATCGCACGTCGCGCCGACACGCCGTGGGCGCCAGAGCCGGCGGAGCCTCACGCGAAGCCCTGGCCATGTCTGCTCCTCCTCCTCCTCCTCCTCCTCTCCTCCTCTCCTCATCCTCCCCCTCCTCCCCCTTCTCCTCCTCCTCCTCCTCCTCCTCCTCCTCCTCCTCCTCCTCCTCCTCCTCCTCCTCTGTCAACACGCCTCCAAGACATGCCCGCGCAGGCATTGTCGCGCAGGACATGTCTGCTATCGCCCAGCCCTGGCCATCGCTCGGACGCCCATCCCCTGTGTTTTTTTCGGCTGCGCGCGTGGGCTTTTCCGCCAAATGATCAAGGATGCTCCTCGATGGCCCTCGCCGGAGAGAAAATGCATACGTCCGAGCGATGCCAAGAGCCCGTGGCCGTGGCCGTGGCCCGGGCCTGTCGCGAGGACAGCCTCTCGAGCGGGGGCGCGCGCTCCGGAGGCCAGGCGCGCGGGCGCCTCGCTCGTGGGGGCCGGACGGGGGCGGCCGCACGGGGGCCGGCCGGAGAGCTGTGAGGCCACGGTGAAGCGGAGGAGGAGGAGGAGGAGGAGGAGGAGGAGGAGGAGGAGGAGGAGGAGGAGGAGGAGGAGGAGGAGGAGGAGGAGGAGGAGGAGGAGGGAGGGGGGAGGAGGAGGAGGAGGAGGAGGAGGAGGAGGAGGAGGAGGAGGAGGAGGGATGGGGAGGAGGAAAGGGAAGTCTGGCTGCTCGGGCCCCCTTGTGCCGGGCCCTTCCCGTCCGGAGGGGGCGCATGGTGCAGACGATGTGGCTCTTCTTCAGCTTCGACGGGTTCGCCTGTATCATGGCGCAGACGCGTGCCGCCCGCCGTGCCCGCGTGCCCGCGGGAAGTCCGAGTGCCTCCGCGTGGAGAGGTCGGAGGAGGACGGAGGAGGAGCAAGAGCACGAGGAGGAGAGGAGCAAGAGCACGAGGAGGAGCAAGAGCACGAGGAGGAGCAAGAGCACGACGAGGAGGAGCAAGAGCACGAGGAGGAGGAGAGGAGGGAGTCGGCGAGGAGCAGCAGCACCAGGAGAAGCGCGAGAAACCTGACGAGAGCCCTGATGGTGAAGTGTGGAGGTGGGGGGCGTTTGGTATCGTGCCGTTGCGCATTTGTCTACGCTGTTGCGGGCTTCTCTGCTCTCCGACCATTCGTTGCCCTTCCTGTTCCCCTTACGCACGCATTGCTCGCATGCCAATTTTGTGATCACGCATGCGCGTTCCTTTTTGTCAGCATGCGCGTTCAAACGCAACGGCCATCCCGCCAATGTGTGCACATCGCAAAACAAATAATATAAAAAACAACACAGAGGAGAAGGAAGAGGAGAGAAGAACCCCTCTTTTCCTCATATCTCTCCTCGTGGAGGGAGTGGATAAGAGGGAAAAGGGGGGAGGAGGATGGATCGATGGATGGATGGAACGCAGGGGGGGGGCAGCGTCTCTCAGTGCTGCCTTCGGCTTTGTAGAGTTCTAGCGTGCCTCCAGCCTATATGGAATGCCCTCTGTGCAACAGTGACAGGGCAAGGGCCAGAGCTTCCAACCGCAAGCCTGGCCCGCCAGCATGGGAGCCGACTGTCTCGTGCTGGTGGGCCGTTGGCAAGGATGCGCAAGCATGATCCCGCCGCTACTGTCCTTCAAAAACCTACGCCTCCTCGCTTCTGCCCTCTGTAGGGGCACGGGGAAGAGGTCGGCGCAACATTCGATGTCTCTCGCTCGCTCCCTGCTGACGCACCCTCTCCACATGCACTAAAACTGTCGGGTCGGTGGCAGCACTCTGGGCAACGATCGCTTCAACTCCGCTCGAAGTGGACGAGCACGAAGGGGGAGGCTCACACAAGAAGGAGGAGGATCGAGGACTATAACATGTTCTGTTTGGCTACAACCTGTTCTTTGACTCCTGCGCTTTGCTGCTGCAACTACCGACATGCGTTGGCTATCCCTCACCTGTGCCGCGCCGTTCGTAACTGCCTTTCCACCACCCGCGTCAGCTCTGATTCCGGTGCTTGCCCGGTATTATTATTCGCTCCCTGTCTCTCCAGTCCCACCATGGACTCCAGACGCACCTCCTCTATTTCGATCGCGCTCCCACAGGGCATCTCCTCGATCTGCTCAAAATTCGCCCACTTGTTGAAGTTCATCGTGATGTGTTTATTCGTCTGCTTCTTTGGCAACTCCTCCTTCGCGCATGCATCCTTCAATCTGCCCTCTTTGACTGCCTCGCTCACCACTTGTCCTTTCGGCCTGACTCCAGCTCCAGCCACTTCGTGTTGGTCTCCTCGTAGCGAATGCCCTTCAAGTCCTCCGCGACTGACTCCATCACTGAGATTCCCACTTGGTGGCGCGGTGGCCACATGCCTTGGCAATTGCCCCTGACCTTCACCGTGCTTATGTAGTCTCGGATAGTCTCAAGCCGTCCCCTTGCCATGCTCCACGCATTTTGCGCCGCTCTGGCAAAGCCATAAGGCGCACACTGCCGCTGCCAAACCTCGGCCTTGGGCGTCGATTGATAGCGCCAGCTTTCCCAACGTTCAATATCCAGTTTCCTTCGACGGGCTCTCTTCCAAGACCTTCCGTCCCATAGCTGTTCTTTGCTGTCGCTTCTGCCGAGCTGGACGTGCCCAGCCAGACCTGCGTCTTCGGGAAGTCGTCCATGAACGTGGCCAGGTTCAGGTGCACCTCCTTTTCTTGCGCAGGCTGCCGAGCGCACTCGCTCGTAGCGCCAGGGACGGCGGCAGCGGCCACCGTCAGCAAGAGAGGCGAGCCTCGGGCACCGCGCGCGCCACACTGAAGACGGGCGGCAAGAATCAGAGCCACCTTCTTCTGGTCTTCCAGCGTCGGGCTCCTCGCCCTCAGGCGCCCATGGGCAGTATGATTCCCCTTTCGGCTCCACGCTTCACTTGCTGATGCGCGGGTGGTAGCAGTCGTTGACGCCCCTGGGCGCCACGTAGAATCCTAGTTGTCATCCCGATTGCGGCGTGAGGCTCACTTCGCCACTGCCTTTGATCATCACCAATGAGTGTCCTATGACTCCCACAGCAAAGTGTTAGTGCTCATCTTTCTCCGAACTCTGCTAACGCGCAGTCTGATCTAACTTGTTGTGACATCCCATCGACCAAGCACAATGGCAATGCATCGCTCTGCGCCCCAGAACTCCTTCCATGCCGCTGCCCCTCTCCATGCTAAGATTGCTCTTGCTTTTCTCTGGCATCGGCTGTATTCTTCCGTTGTCGCTGCTTGTCGTTTTCTCCGCATGTTCCATGGGACCTCTCGCCAATCCAAAATCTGAGCTGCAATCTGGACACCAAATATTCGTAGTGAAAGGACCTTTCTTGTCGAATAGCTGCTCCCCCCACTGAGAAGTTCTCTTTGCCAACTCGTCGTTGTATTTTCCCCCCGCTGGTTTGTCATAAGTGTCCACCAATAGTGTAAGGCCCTATCAATAAAAAGCTGATTAAGACGAGTGGCTGCTGCTCGTCCTCGTATTCCCAGTGGGGGGGCGATGCGCTTGTCGCAAACAATTGCCGCGGCTATTATTAGTCCAACCACTTCTCCTCCCTCCAGTATGTCTTCCTGTGGTTTCGAAGCTGTACTCGCAAGACGTTCCCATTCTGCACTCGTCTTCGTTCCATTGGGTGTGGTCAACTGCCACTTCTTTGGCCCTCTGCTGATGTCCGCGCACCTCTCTACCCATGTCTGCTGCGGGTGGCACTGCACCGCTCCCACGATCTTCTCCTGGCATATAAATCTGCATATATATATATACACAGATATTCGCATCTGTAGAAGATCCACAAGTATATCACCATGTAGTAACTACAGCATCGCGTCCACGCGTCAGCACCGCCGCGCCGCCATCCCTTCGCGGTAGACGCGTGCCGCGCTCCTCGGGCCTGGGACTCCGACACCCTGAAACTGCTTGCTCCTCTCGTCAGCCGCCTGACACGGCCTCAACCTGACACGCTGGCTGAATGAGGAGGAGGAGGAGGAGGAGGAGGAGGAGGAGGGAGGGAGGGAGGAGGAGGGAGGAGGAGGAGGAAGGAGAAGAGGAGGAGGAGGAGGAGGGGGAGGAGGAGGAGGAGGGCTGAGGAGGAGAGAGGGAGGAGGGGGGGGGAGGAGGGAGGAGGAGGAGGAGGAGGAGCAGGAGGAGCAGGAGGAGGAGGAGGAGGAGGAGGAGGGGGAGGAAGAGTCAATCACTCGACTTCTCATCGCGTGCCCCGTCCTCTGATGCTCGAGATGCAAGGGCACGGCGCCAGGAAGCGCCCATGTATCGAGGAATGGACCCGGCGGCGGGGACGAAACCGGGTGCGTGCAACAAATTTCGTACCCCCCCCCTTCCCAATCCTACCCTACCATGTCGTCCGGCCCGAAAGAAGACGCCCACTCGAGATGCGGGGGCACGAAGCTCAAGAATCATGCGGCATTCGACGAGCTCCTCGCCCCCAGCATCTGGAGACTGCTGACCCAGAAAGCGATGCTCGCTGGGGACCTGCAGGATACTGCAGGATCCTGCGCCCAAGCCCGGGCCAGTGCGACCCTGGCCCTGGAGGATCCTGCCAGATCGGGCGCTCCTGGCTGACCCCCGTTTGCACCGGTCCCCGTCTCCAGGCTCCCGAGACGGAGCAGGCTGCTGCCTCCCGAGGCGGGACCAGGAAAGGTCCGCGGGTGCCGAGAGGAGGCTGGAGCAGCCTGGCCCGTGGAGTCCTCCACGCTGCCCTGCACCCCGTTCTCCTTTTCCTTCTCCTCCTCCTCCTCCTCCTCCTCCTCCTCCACATGCTCCTCCTCATGATTATCCTCCTCCTCCTCCTCTTCCTCTTCCTCTTCCTCCTCCTCCTCCTCCTCCTCCTCCTCCTCCTCCTCCTCCTCCTCCTCCTCCTCCTCGGTGACGGCGATCCCGCTCGTGCGCTGGCGGCTGCCGGCTTCCACACAGCGTACAGAAGCGTCGGCGGGCGCGGGCGCGACGCGTCGCGCCCGCAGGCAGCCCGCGCCCAGCCCGCGCCGCGGTCGGCCTCGTGGTGCCGGTGGCCACAGCCGGGCTCAGGAACGCCAGGACGTGGTGGAAGGAAGGCTTCACGGGAATGCACGAGAGCACCCTGGACCTCATCTGGGGAGTGGTCACTACGCGGAGGGTGTCGTGCAGACGCGGGGGGTCGTGTTTTTGGAGGCCCACGGCCCTGCACACTGGAGCCGGGCTCAGGAACGCCAGGACGCTTCTTTCTATTGCTGCCCTGTCCACTGCGTTTCTCTTGCATGCGCGTTCTGTTGCCGCAGTTGCTCGCGCCCTCCGGCTCCGCTTGCGGAGCGGGATGCCTCCATAGGCCCCCCGACCGGACTTGGCTTGACTCGGCTTCTGCCCACGAGGAAGACGCCGCCGCGAAGGCCCCTTGACGCCAGGACGTCGAGCGAGGCGCTCCCGTGCGCGCTCCCCGCTGGGAAGCAGGCGCTGGCGCGGGGATGGCAGCTGCCCCCCCTCCTCAGGGTCGGCGGCCCTCGAGCGCCCTCTCGCCGAGGAGCGGAGGGCGCTCGCCGCTGCGGGGGCGCCCCCGCCTCGAGCCGGGAGGCCTGGGAGCGGACCTGGCACTGGCCATCGCTCGGACGTCCACTCCCTGTGCTTTTTGTCGGTTTCGTGCGCGGGTTTTTTCGCCAACTGGTGAAGGGTGCTCCTCGATGGTCCTCGCCGAAGGAAAAATGCACACGTCCGAGCGATGCCGAGGGCAGGGTGGGGTGCGGCCTGCAGTGCCAGGGTCTGCCAAAGTCGGGCTCGGCTGCGCGATCTGTCGCTGCTGTGATCCTGAGAGAGAAGGGCCTATCGCCACTGCAACCGACGGGCAAGCGAAAGCAAGCCCGAACAACGAAAATCAGCCTG